CTCTGTCTGCAAAACATCAAGAGGAACTGTTGAATCAGTCGAAACTTCCAGTTTATGTTTCTCATGACTTCCTTTCAAGTGGTAGGAAATCATCAGCTGATGTTTTACAGCGAGCGAGTAGGGAACATTTTATGAAGCAATTTGTGTGCCGTGCAACCTGCTTCAAAAAGCTGTGCTTTGCTTCAAAGCGCATAGTCCATAGACTGACAAGAGGACCAAACGATTTTACCATCTCAGGGTAATGTTCCAAAAAATGGTGCTTTGGCAGAAGTTTGACATTGGGGAAAAGTTCTTGGTACCTTTGCCTGTGTTCAGAAATTTTCATCTCAAGGTAGGATATGGATTCATCTGTGTGTACTGGGGAAACTGCCAACTCTACAATATCCTTGAGGTCCATTAGCACCTGCCATGCAGGCTCACCTTCAGGCACCAAATGCCCTATCAGAAATGGAAGCAATGTGATCAAACTCCAATTTTCATGGGCATTCCCACCAATTGTGTTACGCCGTGAAAATGTACAAGGAATTGCATGAGGCTTGTTCTTCTTGTCTTCCCACTTGTAGGGAAACTGGAGAATTGATTTATTGAGGCTTTCCAATGAAAAGTATTTCTTCGATATCAGCAAAGCCAAGCAATGTGCAAGTTCTACAGGCACTACACCCTCAAAAATGTCATGTAGCACATCTGGTGGATAAGCAGATAGCACGTTGAAATGAGACAGGTGCTTAGTAAAAACACACTCTCTTTTCACTCCACAACAGCTTGTGCCATTCTCCAGTGCAGTTTTCACATGATCTTTATGAAGATCTTGATTTCTGAGGTTGAATGCACCGGACCAAACTTCTTTTGCCTGAACATCAGAACTCTTTACCACACAAAACCGACAAAAGAACTCTGCTGAAAAGCTTTCAACAAAGCCAGCAAGACCATGTGCTGCCAAGTTGTCTGCCACCACACAAAAAAACAGTACCTTTAAGAAAGGTTCCAAGAAGATGAACGAATATGCCATCTTTTTCTAGAATTGAAAGGTCACGCAGAAGAGGATCAAGGACTTTCTCATACCCATAGTGCTTCAAATACTCAGTTTTGCACAGGAGAGCCAAATAGATTGAGGAGAGAGATGAATTGGAGCCTGGGGGTAAATTACTCAAAATCCAGTACACAGCAAAAAGCTTGTGTTTTTTTCGGGATGTCCCAAGTGGGTTACACACCTCAAAATCATCTGCATACAAAGTCAAAGAAATTGTTAAGTCTTCCCCAGACAACGAACTGTTTTCTTTGAAGTGAGTACCATCCTGAAATGATCTGTAAAAATGGCTGTCACAACTCGCTGAACTAGTTCTTGATCTGTGGTTTTCAACAACTTTGTCAACAATGTCCTGCTTAGCCAAAAGAAGCTGTAAAGATTTCAAAATTGGAATGTACTGAAAGGTGTTAGTCTGTTGTTCATTAAGACAATATTCAATAGGTTCCACAACACTAAAGCTGTCTTTGTAAAACTGTTTACGCTTATGGGTAGTACATAGAACCACCTCTGCCTATTTCTGAGTGTAATGGGTTAGATGCAGAGATAGAAGTGGCTATTTCTTTTATAACCGATTCATCAGCATGAATATTATGTTTCTCAAACACCTGCTGTACTGAAGCAACTGAGAGAGGCACTGACACAGAATTTAACAGGTAATGTAACTCTTCCAAAAAATCATCAATGGCTACAGAAGGAACATGTACAAGATATTCCAATTTTAATAGCATTGCTGCTAAATTATTAACAACAACGACAGGCAAGTCATCAGCCTCTTAATCACAAACAAGCATCACTGGCCTCATTGCTGCCAAAATCTTGAACCTCGTCAGGCTCTCGTAGATGTTCAGAGATGGTAACTACACCAGGCTTAAAATCACTGAGTGAATGTTGGTTGTGTTTTCTGTGTTTTTGTGACTTAAAGGTTCCACAAACATTTGACTGGAAATTACAACCAGAAAACATGCAATGGACAGTTTCATTTCTCTTTAAATGACTATATTTATGTGAATAAAGTCATCTCTTTCTGATGCAAGATTACTGGCCTCGCCACACAAATGACAAGTGAAGGTGGACATTTGTCTGTCATTTCCTCCAGAGTATGCAGCATGGTTTCTACTCAGTTCAGTTTCTATCTCTGACTGCAACCTGCTGCAGTCTGTGATGTTTTAGTAATTTAGACCTTGCAGAAACTTCAAGTCCACAAATTTTACATTTCCACATTTCTGAAATAGGAGAAAAATAAAATAAAATAATAAACATTATTTATGTCAAGGGACATTGAAACTAACTAAAGATGCAAAACATGTTATAACACTATGCTGTTTAAAGGTATACTATGTACAACTTTTGTTTAACGATTGATAATTAAGTAGAGTTGAAAAGTATACAGGTTAAGTTAATTAAACGCAATACAATAGTGTTTTGGTGGTAAAATAAATATATGTGTGTTATTTTAACATAACATCTTTATGTAAAAAGAACAGTGTCGCAAAACCATTTTTTTGAGTGCAGGCACGCAGTGATGGCGGCAGGCAAGATGGCGGCGCCCATAGAGTTTGCGGCGGATTTGTGTATATGCGGGTAATTTCTATTTGGTGCTCATTTCTTTTATCTTGTTTTGTTTGGTTGGTAACGCTGTGGACGGTGGAGCGTGGGACAGACTCGAGTTCGATTGGGGAAATAAAGTGCGAGTTGTTGTGAGATTCCAATCGCCTCCGTGAGTTTGTCTGGCCTAATAACCTCAGCTGTGAGCTATCCCTATTTTCTTACACACACACACACACACACACACACACACACACACACACACACACACACACACACACAGAGACTTAACATGTGGGTTTACCAGGGGCGGATCTAGAAAAATATTTATGGGGTGGCAAGAGGGGGGCAGGAATTTTTGAGGGGTGGCAACATGGCAGACGTATATATGCTGAATTTAATCACAGTTAACACAGTTTGATGAGAAATCGTATGTATATACACTACAAAAGGGCATTATTTGTATCTGTTTTTTTGGGGGGGGTCACCTGTGAGTACAGGGCTGGACTGGGACAAAAAATCGGCCCGGGCATTTTGGCCCAGACTGGCCCACTACATAATAATCATAAACACAACCGAACTTTGCACTCCCTTGAATATGTATACCAACTCCTATAAAAACCACTGAGTAAGAGTTAACAGATGAAATAACTACTAAGTTGAACTATACTCCACAGTGATAAATCCTAAAACAAGCTATAAGCTGCATTGGGATAGCAATACCGGTTTTTCCCATAGGATTTTGGGAAATCTGTGGTGAGTGCAGAGTGCACCTCTGTACCAGGGGGGTTCGGGGGCATGCTCCCTCGTAAGAAAATTTTGTGCTTTTTAATGTTAAATTCATCAATCTGGTCCACTTTGAGAGTTCAAAATAAAGAGCTCCAACCCATATTCATTGTGCAAATTGAACAAAGAAAAACTCAAAACTCTTTTTAGTTGTGATATAGTGTCTGTCTTCATTACACTACTATATAATAATAGTTATAATATTATGGCCAGTCCAGCCCTGTGTGAGTATAAAGGCAGGGGTGCGTTTAACTTTTGGAGCCAAGGTGTGCCGACCTTTTTTCCCTTTTTTATATATATTATTTTGTTGAGCACCCAACAAGAATCAATTTATAGAATCAATTATATCATTTAAATACTACTAAGATCCATATTACTATCACACGAGCCAATGGCAATTAAATGCACAGATGCATAACGTTAGTCAGATTAATGAATGAAATACAACTGTTCACGAACAGAAGATTGTATTGGACTCATGCTGCATACATACGCAATGACAATTATGCCTACTGTAAATATAGAGTTACAACTACGATTAGAGTTGTTAAATACCCTGTGAACATTCACACGTTTCCTTTATGATAGGCTAAAATTTATCTCCATAAATATTAAATAATATTTTCTTAATTCTGCGCATGTATTTTTACTTACTTACATCAATTGCTCGATCAATATTATTATCACATATTTTACATTTATATTTTTAACTGTACACAAACAACTTAATATAGCTAAGTTTGTGTATATTTTACACGTAGTAAAATACTGTAGGCTACTGCTTATAAACACCAGACAGATAATGATATATGAAACAGATGTTCTTTACTCATCTCACTTGCACAAAATAAATGCAGTAATATAAAGCATAGAAACGCACAGGTGAAATAAACTGAAAATGATATGCATTTAAAAATTTGGTCGGGTTGAAAACTTATCTCTCTGGTAATGGAACTCGGTCGCTGTTGTCTCTTGCTCTCGCTGTCTCCCGCTCTCGCGGTCAGATCACCGGAAGTTTTCGCCGGAAGTATTTGCCCACCCAATAAAGTACGAACGTCAACGGTCGTCATATTATGCACGGAGCGAATTCACTGCAGTCGGACATTGGAGATTCGCGTTGGTAAATGGTCAAATCGGCCATAACTTTTAATTCGTTGCTGCCAACTGGGGTGGCAGCAGGGGTGGCAAGGCTTTCTTTTAGGGTGGCATTTGCCACCCTATGCCACCCCGGTAGATCCGCCCCTGGGGTTTACCTTATCTTCATTACATTTGCACTCAAGGAAATTACTTAATTACTTAACTCACTTAATTCGCACAAGTTTGTTTTTTCTTTGTAACATAAATTCTACACTCAATGCAAGATGCAATGAATGACAATAATTGTGCATCACCACTTAACAGCCAAATTCCATGATTACTGAATTTACACTTTAGGCTTGATATGATACAAAAGTGTAAATTCAGCAATCATGGAATTGTTTCTAAACGACGATTTGCACCTGGATAATCTCGAGTGATTGTAAGTGTGATGATCATCTGCTAAATGAGCAACAACGACCACAATTCACTCCTTCAGTCAGTGAAGCTCCCACGGCCGTTCATGAGAGTTTAAATGCTGGGGAATATTCCCATCTTCCCACAGGAGAAGAAGCAAGCAGGAGGAATTACTCCAGGAGAAACTACGGACATACTATTGTAAAGATGGAGATTAAGGAAGAACCCTGCAGAATAAAAGATGAAGATACAGAGGAACAAATAGGTTGGTGTTTTCCTTCATTCTCTTTAATGACTGATGAGGAACATTAAAGATGAAAAATTGACATATAACAATAATATCCCAAACTAGATACTAGTAGACTCAGTAGTAAACTGGATTTGTGCTAAATTGAGATTTTGAACAATGTTTATTTTTTTCTCATTTATCCTTTTATTAAATTATGGGAATTTAATTTGTTTATTTTAGACCTGATGGAAGTGAATGAAGACAAACTGCATCAGTTTCAAAAACCGCATTATTTCACAAATGAAGATGGAAATGCAGTCGTTTCAAAGACTGAAGAGAATTTCACACAGAAACAAGCTGGAAAATCTGGAGTCGAAGGATCTTTAACCTGTTCTGAGTGTGGAAAGAGTTTCGTACGTAAATCAAACCTGAACACACACATGAAGATTCACACTGGAGAAAGGCCTTATACATGCACTCAGTGTGGAAAGGGATTCATTCACAAAGGACACCTAAATGATCACATGAGGATTCACACTGGAGAAAAACCGTTCACATGCTCTCAGTGTGGAAAGAGTTTCAGGTGCAAAAGCGCTCTCAAATATCATCTGCGCCTTCACTCTGGATTGAGATCATTCAGCTGTGATCAGTGTGATAAAACATTTGTTTATGAATCAGGCTTAAGAGAACACCTTAAAGTTCATTCTGGTGTGAAGCCTCACTTTTGTTCTGTATGTGGAAAGAGTTTTTCACATCTTGGATCTTTAAAACAGCATGAGCGTATTCATACTGGTGTGAGACCTTATGTGTGCTCTGACTGTGGAAAGACCTGCACTTCATCCAGCAACTTAAAATCACACCAGAGAGTTCATACTGGAGAGAAACCGTTCAAGTGTTCACACTGTGGAAAGAGATTCACTCTGTCAGGACACCTGAAAGCTCATGAGAGAGTTCATACTGGAGAGAAACCGCACCAGTGCTCTTCATGTGGGAAGAGTTTCAGCCAATTATCTACTCTACAGAAACATAAGAAAAATCATTGCCCGAAGGTGTCTAAGTGAGCAAAGTTCACTTCCATAACTTGTAAATAAGCAAAAGATGCAATTACATTTAATACAGTATTTTAATCTAAAATTAGTATTGAAGTTTGATTGTTTGACAAGGGGAACTGGTTAAAATGGTTGTGAACTGCATTGTAAGTGTTGCATGTTTTGTTCTTCCGACACCCGTTTTGATCCTCTGTTGTGTTGCACATGCGCAGTAAACACTGAGTGTTACTGTATACAAGATGAAGTGAACAGTAAAGCAACAATGTGAAAATACTCGTGTCAGTGTCATCGCTCAAGCAGTGCATGGTCATCTCATACAGATGGAACAAGAATAATAGTTCAGAAAACTTTCATTTTTCATTGAACATATGAGGCTTTTGTGAAACAATGGCAACAATAGTCTATCAAATATCATTTATATCACAAACAACTTGTTTTTAGTCTCGCTGTTTAGAGGTGATGCATTGAGAACATATTGAAGACTTTATTGGATTGAATCACTCTCTGCACATTGTGAACATGTGAGAATTAAAAATGAATAAAACTTGTGATTTATTTAGGTTTAATGAATATATTTAATTTAGTTTTCATTAAAGGAGCCGTATTGTAAGATTGTGGATTGTGATAATTTGACACTTTCAAATTACTGTAGAGCGGTGTATCCCCGACATAACTCTACTCTTATTCCAGGTCAGTGATGGTTAATTTCCATTGTAAAAATTATTAGTTATTAATTTAGTTAATTTATCTATACAGCCGCTATGGAGAAAACAGTGATGTCATCGTCCAGCTAAGTTTAACTTCACTTATCTTTCACCCTTTAGTTGTGTGCGAGTCCCTCAGTTGTCAGTTGTGAATAGATAGATCTCAACATCATAGTCACTTTTGGAATGGGACTTTTCAAATATTCAAAATATGCTGGAAAACCAAAAAATGTACAGGACCTGGATTTTTCTTAAAGGGGTCATATAATGGTACATGCACTTTTTCAAGTTGATTGTACTGAAATGTGTGTTGGCAGTGCCTGTACACAACCATCATATAATGATAACAATCTATCCAGTGTTTTTGTTTTAATCTCGATATATGTTTTCCCCTGCCTCAAATTTAGCCGGTCACGGTCAGACGCCTCCCCACGATTGTTGATTGACAGCAGCGTTTTAACACAGACCCGCCCTGAACGAGCTGTCATCTTAGGCCCTGTCCCAATATCCGCACTTGTGCCCTTGTGCCCCTCAATGCGCATTCTCGCTAAGGGGTGCAAGACCGTAGGGTGTCCCGATCCTCTAATAGTGTTCTCCAGGGGTGATCATAAGGGCACTTAATGCACTCCTTTCGCAAGTGCGCATCAGACCTCACTTTGCAATGGGATATTACCCAGAATCCTTGTAGTTTTGTGACGTTTCGAACAGCTAACCAATGGGGGAGAACGGTTGCTGTGGTGCTGTTCGGGAGCGGAAACTCAGAAGAGCCGGTGTGGTGAAGTGTTTTTCAAGGCCGCGAAATTTTAAAATATTAGTGTTATTGTGTCATGAAATGTAGTTAAGAGTTTTTCAGTCGAGAATATAGTTGTTTAAAGCTCAAATCTGTGGTTTATTTATAAAGATAACGCCTATTTAAAAATTTGATCTGACGTTTTCGGAGTTTAGGATCCAGGGATCAGCGGGCGCTCAGCGCTCATGTACCCCGCCTGGAACAGCCTTACCTCGGCTAGTCATTCTGATGTTTCCCGCGGGCTCTGTGTCTAGTGGTTAAACATGAGCTATAAATCGGCTTGTGTATATCTAACGGGCGATCTTTGGTCTCATTAATCTATGATTTGTACCCTGGCAAATCGTTTTGGCTGAGTGCAAAGTGAAGTTTCATAACTTTAAATATTTAGGCTATTTAACTGTAACGATGTAACGTTAGCCTGTTGTGTCAGGTGTGGTGGAGGTGAAAGGAGCGAGGACTCAGGTGCAGAGATAATGGGTTCTTTAATGATAATAACAAAACAAAAATACAAACAAAACTACCCCGTAGGGGAAAACAATTGACTTGGCTTGACTGACTTGACACAAGAGGTAACACACCAGGTACATACGACAACGAAACAGCACAGGACTGCAAACACAGGGAGAATAAATAAGGAGACCAAACAAAGGAGGTAACGAGGGAGGACAGGTGGGGCAGATGATTCAATAATCAGGTAACAAGATGGGAGGGGCTAGACAATCAACAGGAGAGCACATGGCACAAGGAAACATGCATGACAAGCCATGTGCTCACACCAAACGTGACCTGAACACAAGCACATGGCCAGTAAAACCAATCACCAGCCATGTGCTCACACAAAACTAGACATGAACACGCAGCTAATGAAAACACTCAGAAACCACGTGTTCACACAAAACATGACAACATGAAAGCACACAGCTAGTGTAAAACACAAGCTGTGTGCTACACAGCATAAGACATGAAAGCACATGAAACAAGGCACAGACAAGATAAAACAGGTGTGTCAGGGCTCTGTCACAAAACCAAGAAATAGACTAGACAGAAGTGACAGAACCCTGACACTACCCCTCCTCTAAAGGACGCCACCTGGCGTCCCTAAGGAGTAACACCAAAAAAACAAGACAGTAACATGACAACTCACCAACAGACAACACAAGACGGGAAGATCAAAACACAGAGACAAAGTGGGGAGGAAGGGAGGGGAGCCAAGACAGAGCCAGCATGACAGTCCAGGAAGTCTCTATAAGTGACCAGGGAGGGACGGGAGGGTTGAGCCAGGGAGGCTCAGGCGGGTCTGAAGTCCCAGCAGAGGGCCAGGGCGGGACAGACCAGGCAGGCTCCAGCGGATCAGGAGTCCCAGCAGAGGGCCATGGCGGGACAGACCAGGCAGGCTCCAGCGGATCAGGAATCCCAGCAGAGGGCCATGGCGGGACAGACCAGGCAGGCTCCAGCGGATCAGGAGTCCCATTAGAGGGCCATGGCGGGACAGACCAGGCAGGCTCCAGCGGATCAGGAATCCCAGCAGAGGGCCATGGCGGAACAGACCAGGCAGGCTCCAGCGGATCAGGAGTCCCATCAGAGGGCCATGGCGGGACAGACCAGGCAGGCTCCAGCGGATCAGGAGTCCCAGCAGAGAGCCAAGGCGTTGCCGGAGGGGCGCTCCAGGGGGACTCCGGCGGGTCTGGAGTCCTGGCAGAGGGCCAGGGCGGTGCCAGGGGGGCGGACCAGGCAGGCTCCGGCGGTTCAGGACTCCAGAATGAGGGCCAAGGTGGACCAGGCGGATCTGAATACTTGGCAGAAGGCCAGGGTGGGTCAGGCAGCAAAGACTGGGTTGGCAGGACAAGACATTTGGGTGACTCTGGGACGGCCTCCGGGCTAGAAATGGGCTCTGGGACAGCCTCCTGGAGCTTGGGCGGAACCAGCCTGACTGGAAGCATGGACGGAGCCGGCAAGGCAAGGCGCTGGGGCGGCGCCGGAAGGGCAAGGCGCATGGGCGGTGCCGGAAGGGCAAGGCGCTGGGGTGGCGCCGGAAGGGCAAGGCGCATGGGCGGCGCCGGAAGGGCAAGGCGCATGGGCGGCGCCGGAAGGGCAAGGCGCATGGGCGGCGCAGGAAGGGCAAGGCGCATGGGCGGCGCCGGAAGGGCAAGGCGCATGGGGACGACCTCTGGGCTGACAGCAGGCTTTGGAACGACCTCCGGGCCCTGTGGTAAACAGGAAGCCTTCTTCCTTCTCTGTTTCCTTGAGCGAGGCGGCGATGCAGCCTCTTCGGCCAACACTGGGGGCGCTGCAGCCTCTTCGGCCAACACTGGGGGCGCTGCAGCCTCTTCGGCCAACACTGGGGGCTCGACAGTGAAAGTGGACGGCTCTGGGAGCACCAGACTTGTTAAGACAGAGGAAGCCTTCCTTCTCTTCCTCCGCTTACGTCTGCAAGGCGATGGTGTGGAGATTGCTGCCTCTGGGGGAAATGCAGCATTCACGGCCACCTCTGGGGGAAATGCAGCATTCACGGCCACCTCTGGGGGAAATGCAGCATTCACGGCCACCTCTGGGGGAAATGCAGCATTCACGGCCACCTCTGTGGCAGAAGAGGTGGACCCGTTCTTCCTCCTCCCTCTCTCCGAAGGGGTCATCGGAGGACTGGGGACCTGGCAGTTTGTGAGGTAAATGGGAGGTGGGCCAAGAGGCGGAAGACCACCCTCTTCCCCACGGTTGTATACAAACCCCACAAACTGCCAGAAAGACAGTATCCCCAACATTTCCATCTCCCAGGCGCTGACAGGCTCGTTCAGGCCGCTGTTAAAAATGTCTTTAAGCGCAGTGTTGTTAAGGTCGAGCCCCTCCGCAGTGATGATGAACTGGTGGGCAAACTCTTTTACTGTGAAGCCCCCTTGGCGAAGAGAAAAGAGCTTGCCATAGCGTTCCATCGTCTGACGAGTGGAGGGGCAAGGGCTGGGAGATGGAAACGAGAAGATGCCCATTCTCTGCTGAGTCCTCTGATGGCTGTTTCGTTCTGTCAGGTGTGGTGGAGGTGAAAGGAGCGAGGACTCAGGTGCAGAGATAATGGGTTCTTTAATGATAATAACAAAACAAAAATACAAACAAAACTACCCCGTAGGGGAAAACAATTGACTTGGCTTGACTTGCTTGACTTGACTGACTTGACTGACTTGACACAAGAGGTAACACACCAGGTACATACGACAACGAAACAGCACAGGACTGCAAACACAGGGAGAATAAATAAGGAGACCAAACAAAGGAGGTAACGAGGGAGGACAGGTGGGGCAGATGATTCAATAATCAGGTAACAAGATGGGAGGGGCTAGACAATCAACAGGAGAGCACATGGCACAAGGAAACATGCATGACAAGCCATGTGCTCACACCAAACGTGACCTGAACACAAGCACATGGCCAGTAAAACCAATCACCAGCCATGTGCTCACACAAAACTAGACATGAACACGCAGCTAATGAAAACACTCAGAAACCACGTGTTCACACAAAACATGACAACATGAAAGCACACAGCTAGTGTAAAACACAAGCTGTG